GGGGGGGGGGGGGGGGGGGGCAGAGCCGGGATATCTTTGGTGTGAAGGATCCCCCCCCCCAACACACAACAGCACTTGAGTGGTGTTGCCTTTGCCCGCATGGGGTGGCTCGCCAATGCCTCCAGAGCCCAGGAGAGAGACAGCAGAACGCAGAAGCTGTGTATCACTTCTAGACTGCCCAGGCTCACCCACGCGGGCAGAGGGGAGGCCTGTTAAGAAGTGGCTAAAAATGTAGGAAAACTAAACAAGAGTGGGTTAAGAATGGCAGGAAGAAGTGGAGAGGCCACTTGGAAGCTAAGCGCCTCAGAGGACGAGGACCAGCACTAACTAGGGAGCAGGGGGTGAGGATGGGGGGTGGTCCAGTCTTCCTGATTGTTGTGCCAGTGCCTAAGTCACTCCTCTCTGCCTCCCAGAACCGGCTAACGGGCAGGCCACGGAGGGCCTGGCCCAGAATCTGGATAGGCTTCTCAGGCACTTTGGCAGACCCAACATGGGCACGGCAGGCCCAGGGAGGGTGAAGGCTCTTGAGCCACAGCAGGGCCCCTCCCTCTGCAGCCCTGCCTGCCCCTGGCCCCTCAAATGCAGTCCCAGACACAGATCTGGGCACACATACACACGTGCGCACACACACACACACACACACACACACACACACACACACACACTCACACTCGCCTCTGTGCGTCTGGCACACGTCTGAGGGCTCCAGCGGAGGTGGGTGGCATCCCAGCCCCGGCCCTGCATGGCTTCGAGCTCCCAGAATGCCACGGCCAGCAGGGACCTCAGGCTGTAGTGGGGAAGGAGAGGGCAGTGGGACCACACAGCGACACGCCCTAGAACAGTTTCCACAAATACCCTTTAACAAACCCCAAACCCTTGCACGTCCAGAGGAAGGGGTTTGGGGAACAGGAGGGCAGAGTGGGGCAAGGAACAATAAAAGAAGTTTCATAAAAATTCTAAGTCAAATTACTGACAGAATTGCAAAATGAGCACGGGTTCAAGAGCATCTTGCTCCCTTCTCTCTCCACGCCACCCCCAACCTCCCGGCCTCCCCGTCTCTGAGGTGGCCGTTCGTTTGGAACCAAAGGCAGGATTCAGCCTCTGATGGGGCTCTGGACTCCATGCCGCCGAGGAGGAGGGGAGGCGGAAACGGGACAGTTCTGTGTCTCTTCGTTTAAAAAATATATCCAGGTCGAGAGTTATTGCTTGCCCTGCCGTGCAGTGGGATGGGCTCAGAGGCTCAGTGAGCGAGGGCCGCGGCCTCCAGGGCCCGAGCTTTCTTCCGCCTCTTCAGAAGGAGAGGATTGGACGCATCTTCAATCTTTTTTATCTTGATCTGCTCGTAGTCGACGCGCATTGTGGCCAAGGCACTGGTCATCTCCTCCTGGGGAGGGGTGGGTTTCACGGAGGGGGAGACACGGGAGACAAGAGACACGAGGGCAGGGGGAGGGCGACGGGAGGTGGGAGCAGAGAGGACAGGCTGCTTAGTTAGTGGGTCCGGGGCCGACAGCGGCCTGGGCCCCGGCGTGGGTCACCGGAGCCTGGGCACGGCATCCTGCTGCTCTCCCCGAGCCCTCCAACGACCCCGCAGGAAGGCAAGAAGAGGACCAGGAGTCCCGTGAGCTCCAGACTGTCACTAGCTGCGTGACCCTGAGTAGTAGCCTTTGGGGTCCCTTTGGTGAGCGGTGGGCTTAGCGGGAATAAACGCAGAGTCCCCGGCCCGCAGCCTGGCCGGGGAAGTGGCTCAGAGTCACTGCTCTTGTTCTAACACAGATCCCCGGGGTGAGCGAGCGCAGACCCAAACTCCCCCCACCCACGCCTGGGCACCCCTGGCGAGCCGCCTCCCCCAGCCCCTCGCAGCCAGGACTTCCCTCACCTTGACATCCTCCCACCGCTCCTTGTCCTCCTTCAGGACCCGGCTGGTGTGCAGTGGGGTCTGAGGGACCTTTGTGGATTGCTGATGGGGAGAAAAGGAGTTTAAGCGACAGCCTGGGGTGCGGCACAGTGGTGGCTGAACCCTCACCCTGAGGGACGGTTCCCATGGACCCAGGTCTCTCCGAGGTCACCAGGCTTACCATGATCCAGGGGTGGTTCATAAACTCCGTGATGGTCATCCTCTGCGTGGGCTCTGTTTTCAGCAGGTTCCGGATAAGCATCTTCACTGGGGGGTGGGGCGGGGGACAGAGACAGTTCAGGGGCCACTCTCCCTCTTCTGCCTCTTCCCAAAGTTTGCAAGGTGAACCCAGATTCGGGGGTGGGGGTGTTGCATGGAGGCAGACTGCCCAAGGAGCTGCTGAGGGCATGACGCCTGCACCACCTGATAGGTTACGTGTGGCCCCACAGCCCTGGCCCTGCGCCAGGCCCTTCACACAGACAGGACGCACCCAGCGGGCACAAGCACAGGTACAGACCCACTGCCACACCACCCCCACGAGCGGGACACCTACATGCACACACGCTCACGTGCCGGCCTGGGGTCTTTACCTTCCTCTGACACTTCGGACCATTCTGGGTTGGGAAATTCATACTGGCCCATTCGGATGCGAGTCTTCATGCCCGGAGAGATGGCAAGACCATGGTTGGAGTAGAAGGGGGGATACCCACACAGCCTAAACCACGACGCAGGAAGAGAGGGATAGCGCTGGTATTACGTAGGGGGCCTTGCACCAGGAACAGGCTGAGAAACGGGCTTCTTCTTGTCAAGGTCACAGAGAAATTGGAACTCATTGATTCGGGCACAACGTATGAAGTCAAGACCAGGGCCCAGAAATCCAGCATGCGGAGTATCTAAAGCACAGTTTCCTGCCCATTTATCAGTTTATAGCCACCGCTTGGCTACCAGAATCCAATAAGCATTGAGAGAAGGAGACGTGCCGGGGATTCCCAGGGAAACCCCATCCAGAAGGGGACGCTGACCTTCGCTCCTTCCTCTTGTCCCAGAGAGGTACAGGCCTCCTTCCACCCCGCTGCCCCAGCCCAGCAACCCCCCCCCCACCTCTCCCTGGCACACTCACAGGATGTACATGATGACACCCAAGGACCACATGTCACAGGACTTGTCATACTTCTCTGGACCCAGCACTTCCGGAGCTGCAAACCAAAGGTCCCTGTGGGTGGGTCTGGCCCTGGGAGCACTGTGCTATCTCCCATTTCTCTGTGGAACATGTTCTCCCTCCCAGCCCTTCAGCCCCTCATGATGGTCCTGGAGCTGGGGGTGGGCGGGGGGGAGCAGCCATCACCCAGTGCTGGGATTGGGGGTGGGGCACAGACCCTCCTCCAAGAGGAGCCCTGGGGCTAGAGTCTCGAGACCGAAACAATTCCTGAACTGAACAGCCTTGTCAACCCACGCTGTCCATTTAATTCGACAAACACGTTTGGAGTGTTTATTCTGTGCCAGTCAGCTGGGGCCCCAGAACCAAATCTGTGTCCCGGACTCCACTGGGAATCTGATGGCAAGGACCGACCTTCTTGGGGAAATTACACGTAGGCACAAAATCCCGCCTATACTCTCAGAAAATTTCCCATAATGCCTCAACCCCAGCTTCACTCTGACGAGCCCTACTTGTGGTCAGGTCACATCAGAACCAGCTCCAGAAAGGGTCAGAGGACATGATTCTCCCAGGACCGGTGGCACCGAGAGCTGGAGGGAGGGTGTGAGAGCAGCCCTGGGGACAGATGGGCGCCCCAGGCCTCCTTGGGACTTACCCACATAGTACGGCGTATAACAAGGAGTGGTCAAAGAATTGTGGCTGGTGGTTTCCTTGGCAAAGCCAAAATCGGTGAGTTTCAGAATGGCGTTGGGCCTTTTGGAGGTGTATAGGAGGTTCTCAGGCTACAGAGAGAGAGACAGAGAGAGACAGAGAAACGGCAACTCTGCTGAGCCTCTGAGGGGCCATGAGAATCAGAAGGGCGACGTTCCTGTCTTCCCTCCTCCATTCAACAGCCATCAACAATCAGGCGGGCATACACGACCAGGGGTCTGCCTTCTGAGAACTTACAGCGTGCTTGGAGACAGGAGACTAACACAGACAACCACGAGCAA